CATTAATTTTGACATTATATATATATAATTCTTAAATATTTATCTATTGATTATATTATTAAAAGTTATCATTTTTTACATATATAATTAATTTAGCTGTGGGATCTATTAATGCCAAATGAGAAATTAGAAGGTCGATATAGCGAACAATGGACTAAAGTAATATATATTTTTATAGTTCGTAAATAACTAAATGAAGATCTTACTTTAAGTATTATACTAAATAACTAATAGATCGGGTTTCAAGGCAAAGATCCTGCGACAGATTTTCGTGGCATGGGTAATAATAATACGCTTTATGGATGCAAATTTTTAACATGTGATTATTGACTTAAATTTTCGATCCGCAATACTCAGGAATGCTCGGTTTAGATGATTTAGTTTACTATGCTAAAAATTACCCAGAATCTGCACATGATGTGTTGGAGTCTTCGCGCCGTAATCGCTCATGGTATTCCTGTTATTCAACTTTATTTAATGGCTTTTGATATTATTTGATGTTTCGTGCCTCACTTAATGTATATGTATAGGCGTCCATTTGCCACTGTGGGAATTAATATTACATTCTTTGCTGTTCAAACTCTTCGCACCCGGCGACTTCAATATTTTTTATTTAAGTATGGTTCTACAAAGGATATTTACCATGAATTTTTCTGTAAGTGCTAAATTCAATTATTTACTTAATAACATTATTTTTTGCTTATTTTACTATATTAAATATTTGTCTATAAGCGACTAAAATCAAATTTCTTATCAGGTTATCTATTTCACTCCTTTGATGAGTTCTGGATGTCATATGATCAATCTACAATAACAATAATGGACTTTGAAAAGATTTTTAATCAATTCAAAAGACATATCATACAAGAATTATTAGATCGAAAATCAATGGTATTGGATGGATCAAAAGATATGTTTATTCAATATGAGAAAGCCAAATAAGGTGCTTCACTCATTAAAACGTTTGATCACAATTATACTTTCATGCTGACTTATCATAAAGAAATTCTTTATCGTTTATTAATTTTAAATATTAATCCTTTAACCGAAATTTAACAAATTATATTTAAAAATCAACTTGATTTAAATATGAATATAATGTGAAGTTTAGCAGGATATAAATAATAATATAGATGCATTGTATAATAGAATCATTTTACGTTAATAAATTTATATGCGAACAATGCACAATTTCTTCATACGTGATAAATTGATTTTATCAAGCTCGTAAGTTGATGTTATTATATCAGCGGATGAACATTTATTTTTATTTACGAAACAATAAAACCTAATAAGCTCCGATTCACGTTCAATTGATCAAGTTCAGTCCGTCAAATTACCAATAATTAAATCGTGATTGTATTAGGTGATTCAATCCTACGTTCAGTTATTTAATAATAATATACGAATTATAGTATTAAATGACGCGCCTTAAGATCACGTATTATGTAAAGTCAAAACAATTTCGATAACGCGCTGTTATAAGTTAAAATCTACAATATTCTTATTTTAATAGAAAAATGCAAATTAAAAAATTTGTCACGAATTATGCAGGCTAAGGAATACGAAGCATCAATCAATTACCTGTTACGTTTTACGGTTATTCTCGTAAATTGAGACAACTAATAAAAATTGACAAATAATTATCCAGCCGAGTTCGATAAGTCTTAGTTTATACAATACATATATTTATTATTCTAGTCAGATGCGATATTTCAAAACATACTCAAATTAGAAAACTTGCCAGTTTAAATGAACAAAAATTAAAACTTTAGCAAGTTTTATCCAGAGGTTGAATTCTCGAATAATTTCATGTTGAAGATCATTTTTAAAAGGACACGTTCATTATTGAAGTCTAAATTTTCAACCCTTTTTTTTTTTTTTTTACATTTCGCGTGAGATTTGCAAATAAATTTCTGTACAAACTAAATAATTAAGCATATAGTAATTGTCTATCTAATTCGTACAGGAGGATCCCAAATTTCCGGAAATTTGGGGATCCTGTAAAAAAATGTATAATCTCGATATACAGGTTTAGTTCCTCTAATAAAGGGTGTATAAATGTTAAACATATCTTATTCACATAATAATGAAAAAACAATGGACGATGAAACAATTCTTTAATGTTCTTAAAGAAAGAGATAAGTGATACTGCTATACGTACAGGGGCTTTGAACAGATAATAAATAACGTCATATTCTGGATATAATTTCTTTTTTAGATGATAAATGAATTCATTTTGTTGCTAAAATATATATATTTGTCAAGGTCACGAGATTGCTTCCTTGTGATGCTCTTTATACTTTTTAATCATATATGCTGAGAATCTACAAGAATATATAACATCTATCCTTTGCAATAATATAATAT